CTAATTTGATTTTTAACGCGCTCCCGGTCTCCGTTCTCAGCCGGGCAGCTCAAGATGGCTGAGAGCTGACTCGGCTCTCCCGGAACCGCTCGCTCCGGCCGGCTCCTCCCGGCTGCCCGCCGCCGCCTCGCCCCTTCCCGGCGGTGCCGCGCCGGCTCAGGCAGCGCTCCGCCGCCGACTCGGGCGCCGTCCCTGCGCTCCAAAGCATTGTTACCGTCGGGGGCTTGCGACCCCCCGGCCGGCCATGAGAGCGGGCTAGGACGGAACCCCCCCGGGCGCCTTTCCCCCCAGCCCTGGTCGGAAGTGGGAGCAGGTTGATTTGGGGTCCACGGGGCTCAGAAACCCCCGTGGCAAAGCCCGTCCCCTCTCCCATCCCTCTCCGGGAGCGTTGGAGGAGCTGGGCGGGCTGTGCTGGGCTGGGGTTTGCTCTGAATGACCGAGCTCTCCCATTCAAGACCTCGCAATCTCGAAGCAGGCGAGAGGGCTTTTTTTCCTCTCTCTTTTTTTTTTTTTTTTTTTTTTTTTTTCCCTCTGTCTTGTTTTTTTTTTTTTTTTTTTTTTCCTGCTGCTCCTCCGATTTAGAAGCAAATCTCGGGGGCCGCAGAGAGAATTCGTTTTTCCGCCATCGTCATCGTCGCTATTATTATTATTTTTTTAATCTTCCTCCTTTTCCCGTTTTGGATCTTAACCCTTTGATCTGTTTCCTTTAAAAGACTCTGATTCCCAACTCCCATCAGGGGGAGAGGGAGGAGAAATACAGGGAAGRAAAAAAAAGCCCGAGCGAGTCGGTGCCCTCAGCTGTTGGCCAGGTTTGGTGGGGGACAAAAGTCCCTTTAAAATATTGAATGTCAGTTGCAAWCCTAAGAAAAGAAAAATCTGATCCGGAGCGCTAAATTTAGGAGCTTTATATGGAACTTGGACTCTGCTGCTGGATTTTGTATGGATTTTTTTCAACCTTTGGTAAGTTTCAGTTCACCTTCTGGGGTAAAAAGGAGCAGATAGCTTTTATTAGGACTTCGGGCAGTAAGTCCAATAGGATCGTGTCGGGGTTTTTTTAACCGTTTCTGTTGTTTTTTTTAACAAAGCGACGGGAACGTTGCGTTTTCTTGCCGGATATTCCTAGAGTGCTTCTCTGTGGTTTATTTTATYCCCGATTTTAAATTCTGCTGCGGTTTATTATTTATGGCGCGTGCTGCGGGGAGGGGGGAGTCTGTCGGTTCACCCTGARCCTTCCCCTTCCAGGGAGGACAGACCCCGGCGTCCGCCCCTAGACCGCACTGAGTGACCGAAGCGGCTCGGGGGGAAGCGTCGTCAGAGCTGCCGGCAGAGATGGCCGAGAATTGGAAGAACTGCTTCGAAGAGGAGCTCATCTGCCCCATTTGCCTGCACGTCTTTGTGGAGCCGGTCCAGCTGCCCTGCAAGCACAACTTCTGCCGGGGCTGCATCGGGGAGGCGTGGGCCAAGGAGTCGGGCTTGGTGCGGTGTCCGGAGTGCAACCAGGCCTACAACCAGAAGCCCAACCTGGAGAAGAACCTAAAGCTCACCAACATCGTGGAGAAGTTCAACTCCCTCAACCTGGAGAAGCCCCCCTCAGTCCTGCACTGCGTCTTCTGCCGCCGGGGCCCGCCGCTGCCCGCCCAGAAGATCTGTTTGAGGTGCGAGGCTCCGTGCTGCCAGTCCCATGTCCAGACCCACCTGCAGCAGCCCTCCACGGCCCGGGGGCATCTCCTGGTGGAGGCGGAGGACGTGCGGGCCTGGAGCTGCCCCCAGCACAACGCCTACCGCCTGTACCACTGCGAGGCCGAGCAGGTGGCCGTCTGCCAGTTCTGCTGCTACTACAGCGGGGCCCACCAGGGACACTCGGTCTGCGACGTGGAGATCCGCCGCAATGAGATCCGGGTGAGTCCCACCGTCCTGGACACCCGGGTTTGCCCAGCCCAGGGACCAGCTCTCCCCTGCCACGTCTGTTCCCCCGTGTTTGTGTAGGACCTGCACAAAATCCATCCTGGCGCTGCTCCTGCTGCTGCCCGGGGTCCCCCCGTGGCGGACATGTTGGGTGGCCTCCCAGCCAAGCAGTGACGGAGGCCATAGGTGCCGGGGGGCTCCCCAGGGAAGGGGTCTGTGCTGGGAGGCCTTTGTGGCTGTTGAGCTGTGGGACCTATGGCCCCTTGTGTCTGTGCCTTGCAGGGACAGGTTGAGCTCTTGGGCCAGGGGCATTTGGAGGGGCAGTCTCCCAGGCTTGTGCTGGGCTGTGCAGCTGTTCCGAGAAAGGCGGAAGAGCTGCCATCCGAGGTAGAGTTGCCCCAAAATTGGGCTTCCTGGGAGGACAAAGCAGCTGCAGGAGCGGACCCTGTCCATTGTAAGGCCTGTGAATGTCAAACTGCCTGCTCTTCCCGCTGCCTCCCACTGGGGCCGGTGGCCGCTATCCTCTTCCCCCCCAGCAATGGAAGAGCATCGTGTCAGAGACCCGTGACGTCTCACTGGTGGGGATTCAGGCTTGGGGTTTGGCCAAATAATGTGGTTTTTATTAGGGGGCACAGGGCTGCCCTCCACCCTAGAGCAGCAAGGACTGTAGTGCTGGATTCGAGGGAAAGCAGGTCTGTATTTTGCTCTTGGCCAGGCCATCTGGCAGGAGCTTTCACCCCTGGCTCCCCACCCTCTGGTTCCTGGCGGGCATTTACCAGCCCTGCGGGCAGCCCTGCCATGACCCCTCTACCACCTTCCCCCTTTTCAGGCCTGCCCCTCCGACCCTTCAAAAGAGCACGGCGCTCGTCTGACGAATAAATATTTAACAATGAATTGAATAGTGATTACTGTAAAATGGGGATGATTTCCTGTGTATTTTAATGTTGCCAAAATGAGTCACCATTTAGCAATAAAAAAAAAGAAAAGAAGTCATAAATAAAAATTGCAGTATAATTACTTTCCAATTGGATGGCCAGGCCTGAGAATGGGGTGGGGGTTGGGGGGACAGCTCTGTGTAGAGAGGAGCCAGCCTGAGCTCACAGGAAGGTTATTTTCCTCTCCAGGTTTTTTGGGGGAAAACCAAAGACCTCCGCAGAGGTGCCAGCAGCTCCGCCACACACGCTGGAAGGGGAAAGACCCAGTCAGTCTTTTGGAGAAACGCTTTTCTGCTTCTATTTATAGGGAGTCATTTTGGTTTCCCTCTGCCAGGGTGGGGAGCCACCTCGGGAGGGCTGCGCAGGGCTGGGATGGGGCTCGCATGTGCATCTCCCAGGAGCCTTAGCCAGGGACCAAAACTATTTTTCCAGGTCCTTTTCCAGGACACTTTGATCTCATTTATTCCCGCTCTTGCTGCATTTTTTTTTTTATTGTTGCTGCCGTTGTTATGGCTGGATGTTCGCCGCTTCTTGCGGGTGCACGCTGCTAATGACCTGGCAGAAAGCTGCCACTGGCTGGGCTGGATTTTGGCTCTGGCTTGAAATTTTAGGATACGTGGCCAGACACCAGAAGTGTTAGACTGCTGTATCGTAGAGCCACGGAATTATTTTGTGACCTTGGCCAAATCCCTCGGTACCTCCATCGCCGCGTTATCTTAATTTCCTTTCTCTGTGATGATAAGCTTGTCTCTTCCCGCTGGGCGCGTGGCTCGGTTGGGTGCTCGGAGTCTGGGTCAATGAAGGACAGCACCAAGCTGGGGGACGGTGTGCCCAAAGGATCCCCTCTGTAGTTGAAGCAGTTCTTCCATGAAGTGGCTGGGGTAGGGATGAGCCCCTGGGAAAAGCACCCAGCAGGTTGCTAGCCCTTGCTCCATGGCTGTGGCCAGGTCTCCAGCTGAAAGCTGCCCTTCGCCAGCCAGCAAGGAAGGTGGCCTCATCAGCTCCCGAATTTGGGTGCATGAGCTCAGCTGGTGACGGCTTCCCGCCTGCGGGAGCCRGTCCCGGGATTCCTGGCTGCTTGCTCACCCTGCAGCGGTGGTGAGCCGCACTTGGAGCATCCCGGGAACGATGGACYGGGGCTGGGGGGCAGATGAGTAACACTGGGCTTGGGAGGTCCGGGGGAGGCCCYGTTGTGAGAGATTTGTTCCATGTGTGGCTTACGTTCGGAAAGCCGTTAATTGAGAAATGAGTCAAAGTTGGGAGGCTCRGAGCCCTGACCTTGGTGCGGGGAACTCGCGAACGTGGGGGTTGCAACACTGACCCGCTGTGGAGGGGGTGGCCCCCATGGCCCCGAGGTGGGACCRCAGCCTGCAAACCTGTGCCCCATAAACTCCGATTTTATGGCATTTATTCCTCTGGCTGTGCTGCCAGCCTGCCTCGAAGGGCACCTTACCCCCTGTTACAGGCTGGTTTGAAGGGGAAAAGAGGCTGAAAACTCCTTGGGGGCAGCAGCAGCGTTTTGTCAGCTGGGCTGGCAGTTGGGGCAGGAGTGCTCTGGCTGGGTGAAGGAGGCTGCGGGTGGGTGCCTGCGGGGGAGGAAAGGGGGTGTCAGTGCASGGTTTGCCTGAAGCAGAGCACACGCCTGGTGGGTTTGGGGGTAGGACCCTGCTCAGCGTTAGGTGCTGCACAAACCYGCAGAGCCCTGGCTCGGAATTAGTTGAACTCCACGGTGCAACCGTAATACAAACAGTAAATAAAATATGTGGTTAATCTTTCTTTCGTGGGCGTATAAAGCGCTTACCTCCCCTTCCCCCCGTGAGATGTTTTCTCCTTTGTTTCCTGTTTTTGTAGCGCTTAAAGAGGAGAGGGGGAAAGAAAAGCCAACAACGCACCCTCTTTTCTTTTTTTTCTTTTTTCTTTTTTTTTTTTCTTTTTTCAACAACGCACCCTCTTTTCTTTTTTTTCTTTTTTCTTTTTTTTTTTGCTTCTTGTCATTTATTTTGTTTGTGTCAAGGTCTGAAAATGAAACATTTTTTCTTCCATCTTTGCCTTTGCTGCCCTAGCCACGTGCGTCCCGCCTGTATGGGGGGAACCTCCTTCTAAGGCTGAAAAAGAAAGTTGCTCCAGTGCGAGGTTGATATGTTGCTTTTTAATTTTTCTCCATCCAAAAGGTGGAAAAATACATTGCTGGGATTGGAGTATGGCTCAGAAGTCAGCAGTCAGAGAAAGCAACTCACTTGCAGGGTATTGCTGTGTTTGCCCTGTTTTTGTCTGGGACGTGGTTGATTAAGGCCAGGTACATCTGAGCTTGTTCAGAGGTTTCCCAGCTGCCTGTGCTCAGCTGGAGTTGCCACCAGTGGAAAGGGGCGTGGGTAGAGAGGCTCTGCTCCTGTTTCGGTTTTGTTTCGGGGGAAGGAGATGGATTTCTCCSTGACCTAGCTTCCTAGAGATCCCTTCACGTTCTGAAGAGCTCTGATGGCTTTGAACCATTAAGAGGGAGAAAATACGTTGTGGTGCTGAGACCTGRAGGAAAACATTGGAAATCCTCCTGCAGGTGTGTAGGAACAGCATCCAGCATTGTCCATGGAGCMGTGCATGTTCAGCAAATCCACGGGGACAGGGACTGGGCTGCTGAGCCCATCTGCAATTCAGTGGATTTGGGTTTTCTTTTCTTGGCAGCACCTCACATAAATCCAACTCACATGCTTTCTAAATTATGAGAAAGAGGAAAGGTGAGCACTTGAAGCATAGGAAGAAATGGATCTCAAGTCTGCACCAGAAACTCTGGTTCTTTGCCAGCTTTGGCCACCGCCAAGTCCCACGTTGCATCCCCATGCTGCCCTCTGTGCCAGGGATGTTTTGCTGGGACCAAGGGAGCCCCACTGGTGGGGAAGTGTGGGATCAGCTTCACTGCCAGGCTTCTGGCGTGAAGCTGCTCTAGGTTGTTTTACTCCAAAACAGGTTTGGTAACTTGTGATGGACTGGATTTTTACAGGCTTACTTATTTTCCAGATGACTTGTTTATGAGGARCACGGCACGCAGCTCACTGCAGGCATTGTGAGTGTGAGTGCCCAAGTGCTTGAGTGCTAATTTAGCTCTCGTGGCCGTAGGTGGTGCGGCTGGTGCCTRGCAGGCATTTGCTGTGGCACTCTTAGAGCATACCTGGTCCCCAGACAACTTTTTAGCAGGTCCTACGAAGCAGGAGTTGAGCAGCTTCTCCCTGCACCCTCCATCTGAACTTCCACCAGCACCCCAGAGCTGAACTGCCAGCCCACCCCAGGGGTTAGGTCAGCCTAACCYAGGTCTCTCCCTTCCTGGCTTTGCTTATGCCCTAGTTCCTGTCCAGGGGCCTCAGGAATATGCCATTATGCTCCTAAATGTGACTGATCATTGTGCCTTGGGATGCTGTCAGTTGGTCAAGCTGCCATGATGAGCACTGACTTCTTGGGCCTTGGGCAGTGGCAGAAATCCCAGCACCCACCTAGCCTGGCTTCCTAGCTCCGTGCCACTCACCACATCGATCTGTCAGGCTTTGCTGCGCTGTGTTGTCAGGGACAGCAGATTTCAGTTGAACCCGTAGCAGCCTGTGCTGCCCTAGAGAGATCTGGGGGGGCTGGGCCACCCTGCTGCAAACCCCTCTGGGTTTTCTGGCCAAGCAACAGTGGGTATCTTGGCAGCCCCAGATCTTTGGCTGAACTGGAGCAGTCTCCTGCCTCCGCAGGGTTTGGATTAAGGGCYTTTCCCCGCTGCTTTCCTGCTAAGCTTGAGCATTTTCCTCGCCCTTAGCCCATCAGGTTGCCAGCGGTTCGTTGCTCCAGACCTGCAGCTGCAAGTCTTCTGTGTGGAGTCAATCCGAGAAGTGACAGCAGAGATGGAGGATGCTGAGAGGCAGCCCGGTGGGTTGGGTGGGAGGGAGGAAGCTTGTGTGGAGGGGACAGCCTTGGTAAAGGAGCAGGGCAGGGGCTTCAGTGGAGAATGCTCTCTTCCCATAGGGGACAATGCAGTGCGGATGGGAGCTGTTGGAGAGAGGTGGAAACAGGAGAGTTAAGGAAGGGTTC